GGAGTGGGGCTGTGTGCTTCCTGAAGTCCACAATAATCTCCACTGTCTTCTGGGCATTCAGCACCAGGTTGTTGTGGCTGCACCAGGACACCAGACGTTCAACCTCCCTCCTGTAGGCAGACTCATCCCCGTCCGAGATGAGTCCAATAACGGTGGTGTCATCTGCAATCTTGATTAGCTTGACAGACTGGTGGGTGGAGGTGCAGCAGTTAGTATACAGGGAGAAGAGCAGGGGAGAAAGAACACAGCCCTGAGGGGAGCCGGTGCTGATGGTCCGGGAGTCCGAGACATTCTTTCCCAGCCTCACATGCTGCTTCACTACAGTTTATGATTATGTTCATGTGTTTAATGTCCCAGGCAACATGTGGAGGAGGTTTTAATGGAGAACCAGAACTTCTTGTTTAAATTGGGGCTATTAAAGCATAAAGACTTTTGCAGAGTCTGTGTACAGAGTATGCTAATTAACCAGTGATCATTAAAGTAAGTAAAGCCAAAAGTTATAATCCAATCACATAATCGTGTAATTAATAAGCAGCTCTAGGAGCCGCTGTTTCTCTGGCTTTTCTGTTAATGTTTGACCAACACGACTTTTCAAAGAGTATTAAATTGAATTTCTTGTGGAATTAAAATCTATTTTTACGTGTTCATTTTAAGAGCTAACTTACTCCTTCATAACAACCTTAAGTTAGCATTCAGGGTGTGGGTGCTTTGACTGACAGGTAGGAGATACTAGAATGTCATGATGGTTGACCAATCACAGGGAGGTTTTAATCACCTGTCTGAAGCCTTGGTTATTTAAAGGCCATTAACTCTCTGATGATGATTGATGTTTGAGCTTTTTTCCTGCTATACTCTCTCAACACTGTAAAAATGAAAGCCTGCTCTTCTTAAGCTCAAACTGTTGAATGATACATGAAACAGTTTCAGGTGTTTTTCTCCCGAATGAGGCAGTAAAACATCTTTGATTACTCACACAGGACCTTCTTACACCTGCTGAGATAAACAGAGATGGATCTCACGTAATTAAGAACACATTACGCTGCTCTTATCATACAAAAATCCAGCAGGTATTTTCTCTCAGTCTTGGCAGACACAAGACAACATATAAAATTTAATCCTGTTATTAATGTTTCTGTAACATGAAGCTTGGAACAGAACCGTCTGTGAAATAATGTTTTTATGATGTCATGAATGCCAAACTTTCATAATGTAAAGCATCAAATAAGGATATTTACTTTGTAGATATGTTTAACTACTTCAACAATTAAAAGCAACCTGTGAACACCACCGCTGACTTTTTAAGTACTGATTACTGAACACTTGTTTCACATTTTCATGAAGTTAAATATAAAAGAACTACGAGACTATGAAAGGTCTTCATAGTCCCCCATAACTAAAGCATTTCTGCCATTTTCACTTGGGACATGACAGCCTGAGACTGATAAGCGTAATCTTCTCTGCTGCCTTGGCAATACCTCAATGCTTCAGGGAGATGTGGGAGTCTTTGCACCTCTGTGCAGACTGCTGCATCCATGACTTCAAATAACAAATCAATGGATCAGTCTATGGATGGATAATGCGTGGTAGAACGGATGGATGGATGGATGATAGATGATAGGTATATGGATGGATGGATGGATGGATGGATGGATGGATGGATGGATGGATGGGTGGATATGAGCTGGTTTGTAGCCAGTTTGTGTTTCCAGTCTCATAAAGAAATTTTTCCAGTTTCACTGCTTTTATTTGAGTTTAGTCCTGCAGTGCTGCCTGTAAGTAATGGTGTAGAGGTTGTGTAGCAGTGCCATCTACTGACTGCAGCCAGAACTACACTGAGACCACAGAGACTCATGACGTATTGTAATTTTGTTCATGCTCAACACATAACAAGTGAAGGTATTGCAGAAGTGGCTTGAGCCTGACATTGTTCTAATGGCTGGTTTTTCTAGTGGGTTTATGGACTCAACATGATGTGAAGGTTAGTGAATGTTTTCAGTATATGCTGCGTTGTTTTCAGACTGAGGTGTGTGTGTGTGTGTGTTGCTTAATAAAAGCCTTCTTTGCTCTTTTTTTTGTGTTATCAGAACTTTATGATGGAGCTGATAAGGACTCGTGCTGTGTGTACGTGTGTGACTTCTGCTCTTTATTCCAAGGGTCATGGTGCAGTTTTCAGGTTTCCTTAAGGAAGACTTCAGTTTGTAGATAAATCCAGAGAGCTGAGACTGTGTGTGAATCTCCTGCTCTCTGCATGTTTCCCGTTGAAGCTGTGGATTCACTTAAGCTTCATGCAGATTATTTTCTCCATCAGAAGGTAACGTACTTTAACTCTGAACACAAAACCTAACAAAATCAACCTGCAAACTTATTTTGTTCGGTGTTCATTATGATCATTTGATCAGTTCAAACATTTTTAGTATTTTAACACCAAACTGAGCAAAGTTACACAAAGTGAGATGTTTATTGTTAACGATTGGGAGACTTTAACTTTGACCTGGCAGGTGGTGTTACTGAGAAACAGCAAGGTTCAAAGTTCTTTACATGGAGCTACAAAAATATTGTTAACATTTATCACTGATTAACAAATCATGACTCACCTGCAGCCAGGAGAAAATAATCAAACAGGACCATTGAATATAAAATGATTAATCTCAGGAGGAAGGATTTTAATGTTTAATCAAATGTGTTCATGTTCAGGTTCATAAAGATTTTATGCAGATATCTGAAGTGTTTTATAAAACTCTGAACATTTCCATGGACTTGTTGCCATGTGAGAAATGCTTCATGTTTCATGTTGATGATCAATTTGAATCAACGCTTTTTATAAAGTTATCTTTTTAGCATTTTTATTAAATCATAAATACCATAAAGAGAGAAAATTCATTAGTTTTCACCATGTCTTCTATAAACCAGGCTGAATGATACATGAAGACTGCGCTCTACAAATCTTCAGCAAACTTAATTGTTTTAGAAAATCCTCATCATAAACAAACTGTAGCAACAAAATCATCTACAAATGTTATTTGGATGTTTTCTTTTCCTGACAGAAGTTATGAAGAACACAACCTCATAATTCAAAATGCACTGATGGAAAAACAAAAAAACATGTTTCTTTTAGTATTACTGCACCTTAAACCATGATGACATCACTGTTTGAACAAATTAAGCTCCTACTGAAGCAGCTGGGCTCTGCTCTTTGTAGTATGAAGGTTTCACTGACCTGCAGTCTGACCGGCTCTGATGGTGATTATGAGAATGTAACAGAGCCCTCGGGTTAAAGCAGCTTCTCTCTGTGTTTCCTCTAAAGGTGAAGATAGAACAACTCTGTAATGGACGTGGACCTGAATCTGGGTGGTGAGGATTTTCTTTATTCTGTCGTGCAGCTGACTTGTCTGCTGCTCCACACGAGAGCAGACACCATTCTTAAGAAAGAAATGATATATCATATGACTTCCATTTTCTGCAGCTAGTCTTGGTATACACAGCAACACAGTCTGAAGTATAAATGATGTTGTGCTGACTGAGCGTGTTGTTGTGTCTGTGTGAAGGTGTGTTCTCTTCTGTGGATCAGTGTGAGCACAGAAAGGAGGGAGTCCCTAACTCTGCATCCACTCTGTGTGGGGAACATGAGAGCCAGATCAAACCTCAGAGGTGAGAGGACCGTCTCTAACTGTCAGGACTCTTCTCCAGGTCACAGCTCAGCTCTCCCATCACAAAATCAATATTGAATCAGTGTGTAACTTTCCCAGAACAATGTCGGACTCTGTAGTTTTCTCTGGTCCCCTGTGACATATGAAGCTGCATGTTCTCCTTAAATTGCTGGCTGTCTAGATAGTTGGGAAACTTTCTGAAGGAAACCTGGTCTTATTAGGAGAGACGGCATCCATCCCACTTTGGATGGAGCAGCTCTCATTTCTAGAAATCTGGTCAAATTTATCAAACCCCCCAAACTGCTTCCTAATTGAGACCAGGAAGCAGAGCTGCAGCTTCTTAATGAACCAGCTTGGATTCACTGTCAATAAGTGCTGGAGTTTGTTTAAAATATTCCAGCATCTTTCCTGTACAACATTAAGCACTTTGAAGTAACTGTTGGAACTGAATCTTCATCGTCACGATTCGTGCTCTGAGCACTATATGTGTTGCATTTAAGGGTAAAGCAGCAGGTTGGACCAGACTCTGCCGGACCTGGAGCTGATCCTGAACCGGGTTGGGTGTCTGAATCCCTGAATAGAGAACGGGTCATGAACATTTACACTCCCATCTCTCAGATGCCATTCTCTGACAAAACGTGAGCTTTGACTGAAAACTACATTTCTTTCTGTCGTTTCTAGAAGCTTCTATAAACCTCTGCTTATAATGTGTCTATTTTATGTTTCAAGACCAAATAAAAAGCAGACATTTGATCCTTGTGTAACCACATGTCTGACTGTGACATCCAGTGGCTCCATCAACCGTGAAATTAAATTTAAAGGCTCAACGTAAGGATGAAAATTTGATTATCATTTGATATTTTTAGAATATACGGTGTATGAAATGTATCCTGTTTTTTCTGACATTTCCACAGAGACGAGCAGCAGCAGAATTTAAAGGTTCCCCATCACCAGCCTGATAGTGGGCACCAAACAGCTCTGCAGGACATATTTATGGTATGTAAGCACAGAAAACACATATCACCATGGAGAAATACTGCAGTGTTTCTGCTTAATACTACTATCAATCAATCTACCTACAATCTTTTTCATCACAGCTCCTGCTGTTTGGGAACAACACTGTTCTCTGCTCTCTTAAATTTAGTTTAGTCCAAAGTTCATGTTTCTGTTTTCATCAGAGCCAGCTGGGGCTTGAAATGTTGTACTCTTTCCAGGTTTGTCATTACTTATATGGTACAAGTAATGACAAAAATATCTCAAAGACAGTGACCGTGACTGAGTTGGTGCTTTTTCTGCACTGAGCACTTCACAGACAGTTAGATATACTAAATGTGGTGTTGTGTTTAACAGAAGCTAACATTTCTTTCTAGCAACTTGAGGAGAACATTATGAGATTTGTGAAGACCGAGCTGAAGAGGTTCCAGGAGGTCCTAAATCCAGATTACAGAGACGGTGGACTTGATCAGAGTGAAGATGAGGGCCTGGGTGATACAGCTGAAGAGCAGAAGAGCAGCAGACAGTCATTTCTAAAGATCACACAACACTTCCTGAGGAGAATGAAGCAGGAGGAGCTGGCCGACTGTCTACAAACCAGTAAGATAATTTAAAATAAGATAAGAAATACACCACCCATAAAAGTTTGTTCGGTGACCTCCAGCTCTGGTGGAGAGGAGGTCCAGTTTGCAACCTATTATAGAGCCAGCCTTCATGGTCAGTTTATTTAATCTGCTGGTGTCACCAGCTTCCACTGGTGATAGTGTGATTTTCTTTGCTAAAGGAACTAGGCGTGTTGTTTTCACTAACACTGGAGTCTCACTATGCTTTTGACAAGCATAGTGAGACTTTTACTAGACTGGAGTCAATCCAGCTGTAAATGTGACAGCTGGGCAGCACAAGTCCTCAGGACCTTAAAACTGACATCACAGTCCAGCAGGGGATGTTTCTCAGTGTGACAAAGGGATAAGCAGTTGTAATGCTCTCCACTTGTCCCAGATGTGTTGACTTTTTTTTTTTTTTTTGCATATTATGCACCTTATTCTGTCTCTCTATTTATTTGCTATGATTTGCTATTTGTCAAAGTAACTTTGCTGCACTGACTATCCTGGGTTTGTTTGTGTACGCATTCTGTGGATGGAAAAACAAACTTTCTGCAAATTAAGACAAATACTCAGTTACATGTTTCTTTATACTCTATTATGCTGCAGATTAAGTCATTTTTTTTCATACTTCGTTCTTTGTTTTCAGTCTTTATGTAGGTCAGGTGTGTGGAAAGGCCCCCCTAGCATTTCCTGATTTTAAAGTGCTGATAATGTCAGACATGACATCAACAGGTGGAAACGGGGGGGGGGGGGGGGATCCTTCTACCATAGAAATGCTTCCTTTTGCTTCTTTCTAGGTCTGCAGGGGTTTTTTGAATTTGTTTTTTTGTTTTGTTTTTTGTAAATAGAGCCGTTTAGTTGTGTAAATGTGCTAATCAGAAGTGTGAGGAGCTTCAGATGAGGGAGGGGAGGTGAGCTGTGTTATTGCACTCATGTACTTTTGAGTTTTGGTAATTACGTTAATTAAGTTTCACGTATGATGGAGTTCACTGTAAATTCTCTAAATGTCTGCTGAGTCTGCTTCCTTACCACCTTCCTTGACGTTCGAGTCTGACTACATCACACTCAGATGTCAGGATTCCCTTGATGACAGAAGACTAGTAGTGCGAATGTGTGAAAGGTGTTGTGTGGTGGAGAAGACTTCAGAAATAAAAGTCGAGAAATAAACCTGTTGAAATTATTTATCTTTTTGTTGTCTACAGGCTGCCCACTCATTGTCTGTCACCTTAATCCTAGTGATTTTTTTTGTTCCGCTCCACTCGTTCCTTACGTTTTTCGGATCATGTTTTGCTTCCGTAGAACTGCCTGGATAGTAATCATAGTTTTTGTATGTTTCTTTAGGAACCCATGCTGCAGAGTGCCAACGTAAACTCAAAGTTTATCTACAGAAAAACATCCAGTGCATGTTTGAAGGGATCACTAAAGCAGGAAACCCAAATTTTTGTAATCAGATCTACACAGAGCTCTACATCACAGAGGGAGGGACTTCAGAGGTCAATGATGAACATGAGGCCAGACAGATTGAAACAGCATCCAGGAAACCAGACAGACCAGAAACAACAATCAGACAAGAAGACATCTTTAAAGCCTCACCTGTTAAAGACAAGCCAATCAGAACAGTGCTGACAAAGGGAGTGGCTGGCATTGGGAAAACAGTCCTAACACAGAAGTTCACTCTGGACTGGGCTGAAGACAAAGCCAACCAGGACATCCAGTTCATGTTTCCATTCACTTTCAGAAAGCTGAATCTGCTGAAAGAGAAAAAGTTCAGCTTGGTGGAACTTGTTCATCACTTCTTTACTGAAACCAAAGAAGCAGGAATCTGCATCTTTGAAGACTTCCAGGTTGTGTTCATCTTTGATGGTCTGGATGAGTGTCGACTTCCTCTGGACTTCCACAACACTACAATTTTGACTGATGTTACAGAGTCCACCTCAGTGGATGTGCTGCTGATAAACCTCATCAGGGGGAAACTGCTTCCTTCTGCTTGCCTCTGGATAACCACACGACCTGTAGCAGCCAATCAGATCCCTTTTGACTGTGTTGACATGGTAACAGAGGTCAGAGGATTCACTGACCCACAGAAGGAGGAGTACTTTAGGAAGAGATTCAGAGATGAAGAAAAATCCAGCATGATCATCTCCCACATAAAGACATCACGAAGCCTCCACATCATGTGCCACATCCCAGTCTTCTGCTGGATCACTGCTACAGTTCTTGAGGATGTGCTGAAAACCAGTGAGGAAGGTGAGTTGCCCAAGACCCTGACTGAGATGTACATCCACTTCCTGGTGGTTCAGTCCAAAGTGAAGAAGGTCAAGTATGATGGAGGAGCTAAGACAAATCAATCCTGGAGTCTAGAGAGCAGGAAGCTGATCAAGTCTCTGGGAAAACTGGCTTTTGATCAGCTGCAGAAAGGAAACCTGATCTTCTATGAATCAGACCTGAAAGAGTGTGGCATCAATATCACAGCAGCCTCAGTGTACTCAGGAGTGTTCACACAGATCTTTAAAGAGGAGAGAGGACTGTACCAGGACAAAGTGTTCTGCTTCATCCATCTGAATGTTCAGGAGTTTCTGGCTGCTCTTCATGTCCATCTGACCTTCATCAACTCTGGAGTTGATCTGTTAGAAGAAGAACAAACATCATCTCTGTTGTCTAAAGTAAGACCCAAATCTAAACTCAAACATCTCCATGAGAGTGCTGTGGACAAAGCCCTAAAGAGTCCAAATGGACACCTGGACTTGTTCCTGCGGTTTCTCCTGGGTCTTTCCCTGCAGACCAATCAGAGTCTCTTACAAGGCCTGCTGACACAGACAGGAAGTAGCTCAGAGACCAATCAGGAAACAGTCCAGTACATCAAGAAGAAACTCCGCAAGAAACTGTCTGCAGGGAAATGTATTAATCTGTTCCACTGTCTCAACGAGCTGAATGATCGTTCTCTGGTGGAGGAGATCCAACAGTCCCTGATTTCAGGAAGTCTCTCCAAAGATGAGCTGTCTCCCTCTCAGTGGTCAGCTCTGGTCTTCATCTTACTGTCGTCAGAAGAAGATCAGGATGTGTTTGACTCAAAGAAATACTCAGTTACTGAGGAGGCTCTTCTGAGGCTGCTGCCAGTGGTGAAAACTAATAAATCTCAGCACGTTGATAGACGTATGGAGTATCCAAAACAACTAAAGAGGTAGAAAATGGAAATATAAATTAACATTTTTAAATTATACTCTAAACCAATTGCTGTTTTCATTAATGATACAGTATAGTAGCATACTATGCTAATTCTTTTTGTAAGCAAGTGACTCATAAAAACATTGAACTCGAACGCATTTTCAAAGGTTATTTTTTGGCTTTCACATTTTATAGGATGAAACTATTGAGACCAACATTTTTATGCACTTTTGTTTGTTTTTTTAATCAAAGTCAGATTATTTTGCACTTCTTAGATTCTTAAAACACTTTTGTGGTTTACAATTTGACATCACCAACAAAAGTAACTTGTTCGCCCCCATCAGTAAAATAGCAATTTGATCTAAAACAGTGTCTCATATCAGGAAATTTGAATTCTTTGCATTCATGACTAATGTATTGTGCTTGATAATTTGTATGTCGCTGTCACTATACTTATCTACAGAGTGGACCACAGCACAGAGCAGGTGTTAAGGTTTGCACTGCAAAAATGTAAGTTTGCACTTTTTATTCATCTCTTATTAAATTCAAATGCCTAAATCACTTAAGATGCAAGTGAGAAGCTGATTAGATAATTCAGCTTACTCTCAAAGGTTTTCATTCTGCTGGCACTCTGAAGGGGCACCGATTGTGGAACTGATCTTCTATTCGTGCTTGACTGTGCAAGAATTAAGATCTATAAACTACTATTGTAATGTCTTTGCTATTACATTGTACTTTCTCTGTTAGACTTCTGCGAACTTGAACTGGACCCAAATACAGCGCACAGAAACCTCAAACTGTCTGACAACAACAGGAGGGTGACACATGTGAGAGCGGTGCAGCCATATCCTGATCATCCAGGCAGATTTGACTACTGGAATCAGCTTCTCTGCAAAAATGAGCTTACAGGTCGCTGTTACTGGGAGATCGAGTGTAGAGGAGTGATTGACGTCGCAGTGACTTACGGACAAATTCAAAGGAGAGGAGACAGCGATGACTGCAAGCTTGGCTCCAACGATCAGTCTTGGAGTCTGAACTGTTGTGAAGATGGTTACCGTGCTTGTCACAACAACTTTAGGAAGGACGTAGATTTGGCCCTACCCTCCTCCGTCTCTAACAGAGTAGCAGTGTATGTGGACTGTCCTGCTGGCACTCTGTCCTTCTACAGAGTCTCCTCTGACAAACTCGTCCACCTCCACACCTTCAACACCACATTCACCGAACCTCTTTATCCTGGTTTTGAAGTGTGGTATGGGTCTTCAGTGTCTCTGTGTTCTGTGTAGGAGGGAGCGTTTCCGCATGAGTGGAAAAATGTTCCCACTGCTGACTGACTGCAGCTGCTTAGACCAGCTAAGAAGAGAATCATGTAGAGATATTTGACTGTTCAAATTTTATTTTAAAGGGCAGAAATGTTTTTAATGTACGAAATTATCAACATAGAAAATCAGTGAATGGAACAGCTTTGAAATTTGATGATGTCATGTCAATGCGTGTGTATGTTGATAATAATGCATAATGCATATGTTCATAAATGATAACGTGTCATCACGTGGCCCAGGCATTAAGGACGGTCAAACTGTATTTTTTTCTGTTGGCAGAATAACCAGTCATAGTAACCGAAGTCAAGTGTCATACATGCCTTAAAGTCTCTTATCATATCAAATAATGGTACTGCAGTATCGGCAGCACATTGTTTTTCATAGTATTCTCCTCCCACAGAGATTTTGGTGTAACTATAACATGTTGTAACAGGTTCTTCCAGAAATGTTTTTATAGGGTTTCTGATAATCTGAGATCAAAGGATGACTGGATGTCTGAGCATTCCCTTTTTTCTTTTCCATTAAATTTTATATTAAATGTTTATTGTGATTACTATCCTTTTTGTGTGTCTGTCCTGTCTTTTGTACTGTCTGTCATACATAGTTATTGGTAAAGCCACTGTGCACAGTATGTATATGCAAATTTACTTCAGTTTTACTAAATGCTGAGATGCGTTCAAATACTGAGTGTCTTTGAGATTTTATTTGTGTTTTGAAATGATTTAGGATTCAGTACAGTCATGTCAGCGGTCAGGTTTTGTGAAAATCTTGTGAGCGTGACAACTCACAAACAGTGTTGGGAAGGTCACTTTTAAAATGTATTCCACTACAGATTAGAGATGGACCGATCCGATATTACGTATCGGTATCGGTCCGATACTGACCTAAATTACTGGATCGGATATCGGAGAAAAAAAACATGTAATCCGATCCATTAAATATCACGAAAGCACCTCACAAAACTTGCAACACGCCGTAACTCACCTCAGAACGTTAGCACGTCGGAGCAGTATGCATCACGTGATAGAGCCGTGATAGAGCGGCTGTGGCATGCGGGACCTGTCGGTGGTCTGGATAGCATTTGGAGCTTCGCTAGCAACCCGGCATTTCATCTCCGACAGAGTTATCCCAGAGAGAAGTAAAGCAAGTGTGTAAGTCCATCTCTGAATGTTTGTAAAGCATTCCTGCGTTAAGCTTAACAAGCGACTGCCTCTTCTTGCTGCTACTTCAATCATGAAACTGCTTAACGATCAGCTGATCGGTTTTTCTGTCGTGAGTCCATCTCTCTTGTTTGTTTTTGGCCCACTTTGCACCAGAAAGAGGAAACCAGCGGCTGAACAACAGCAGCACGTTTAAGCTTGATAAGCTGTTGTTAGAATTTATTTAATATTACTTTTTACACCAGGATCTTTTTCTACATAGCTGACGGCTGGTAACTGTGCAGGGGCGGATCTAGCAAAGTTTAGCCAGGGGGCTGATAGGGCATTAACAGGGAGAAGGGGGCACAAAGACATAGTTTTCTTTCTTATTCTCATTTAAAATGTCTAGCTTTTAATAAATAATTATCTGACACCCAAAGTTTTAATTTGATGTAAAATGAATAGAAGTCCATTACTGTATATAGTGACTATTAAGTCTAATATATATACACCCTAGTAAGCTATAGTACTTTTTCCTTTGGGAAGGTACCATCTGTGCAGTCTGCAATTTTATTGAAGAAAGATGTTGAATCTATTTAATATTTCTTGAAAAATAATTGATTTCTGTGCATTTTTTTTTCCACACTGCATCAAATTAAGGTTGATTACGTCGATTAAGCATCATGAGGTGGAGGGTGGTTCCCTATTTTTTTATTTAGTCATTTTTGTTGTTGCTGGGATTTGGAACCCTATTAGTTAGGTTGCTTAATATTTA